CCTTGTCATCACTGTCCACCGCCCCCCCACTTCTCGAAAACCGGCTCTCCCGTTTCCCCTGACGGCCCCTTCCCCCCGCGGGACATTCCCCCTTCTCCTCACCTCGTCCCCTCTCCTTCCCCAGTCCTTCACCACTTTCGCCGCTCTCGCCCCTCGTCCGCCACCCATCCCCTCTACCCCGCTCCCGCCATCACTTTCCGCCTCATTTCCGCCCTCTACTCAGAAGCCCCGCCCCCGCCGTGCTCTCGTCCCAGACCACCGCCTCCTGTATTCACTTCACGTCCATTCGCCGTGCCCCCCCAAAAAAATATAACCCCCTACTGTTTTCTTCTCTGCATTTGACCCCCTGGTCATCCCTTACTCCCGGTGCTTACCACCTCAACTCCTCATCCATCTCGCCTCGCCCCCCTCCCCCCCCTTTTTCCCACACGCACCCCCTCCGTCGCCCCCGGCCCCGGGCGCATGACACACTCGCTCCTTGCGGCATGGCCGAACCCACAGCCTCCGGCGCCAGTTGCGTCAAGGTCTACGTTCTCAACGACCACGACAACTGGGAGGAGCGTTGCATGGGCCTAGTGCGCTGCCAGCGCGACGTCCGCACCAACGCCTTTGTCATCAAGGTCTTCGCCAAGGACTCGGGCAGCGTCGCCCTGTGCTTGCCCGTCCGCCCCATGAGGGACGCCGTGTACCAGCGCCAGGACGACACCATCATTACCTGGCAGGAGCATCCGCCCCCCGCGACACACCCCGTCCCGACCGAAATTGCCCTCTTGTTTGCGGAGGAACCGGCCTGCAAAGAGTTGTGGGACAAGCGTATTCACATTAACTCCCTTCTCACACATCATGAGCAATCCGCCATGGCAAAGCAATTGCTCCCTAATGCCCTTTCCTCCTCGTCGCAGCAGCTCGGCCCCCAGCACCATCTTGTTGCCGGTCATGGTGTCCTGGTCGCCTCACTCAACCTACCAAACTCTATCCCCCGCAGCACGCAACCCCCGGTATTGACCCGCTAATGTCTGCCGCCGATAACCCATTGATCTCGTCTTCAAGTAGAGATAATAACAGTAACCATCGCAATCCGCATGCATCACTTGTCGACTCCGCGCAGGACATGACCCAGTCGCCTCGCTTTTTCGGCGACAGCATAGAAGCCTCATTCCCGTGAGCGACAGACCATATCGAGAATATCATCTTTCGGGACAACCTAAATGTCCTGTTCCTTGGCTCACCAAGCACATTGGTACCGCCTTCGGTCACCTCAGATCCTACAGCTGTTGCAGGGGTTTCCAGGTCAGACCCGCGCTGGGTTGGAATTGAGGATTGGTATCGCAATGTGTCCGAACACGGCGCGATCCATGCTTCGTACGACCACAGGAGAGTCATCTCCGAGGTTTCGGATGGCGACAACGTTTCCAAAATTGTGCAGTGTTTTCGCGAATGTGAAAAATGCCTTGACAAGGAAGGACTTGTCATGCTCTACCACATTATGCGATGTCTCTTTGCAATCATAACGGGAAGCGTTGTTGAGGTTTTGGAATACGAGAAAAACCTCATGGATATTTTTGGCTCTCTAGAATATGAGACCGATCATGTTGCACAATTACAAAAAGCCAAAGCTGTGAATGAGCGATGTGTCGATAAGCAAATGAAAAACGACAATGGCGCTGTGAAGAAAGAAAGTCCAGAAAAGGATAGTTCTGCGATCTCTACAGGGAAGGCCGATACATCTGAGGCCTCTGCTGGGAAGGTTACCGACGAAAAAGCCGCGCGCAAGGTTGAGGAAAGCCCCCGCGGCACCAACGTGGAACTGAAGGGAACGGGCATTGGACCGTGTCAGTCAGAATCAACCGACCGCAAGCCCGAGGATCATGCGTCTGATGTGAGGGCAACAATGGGGGCCAAAGTTGACACATCTCCCAGTGGTGAACCTGATGGAAACGCAATGCGCGAGAACGACCAGGGCTCTGCAAACGGCGCAGCAGCCGCAGTAGTTGCAACCTCCAACAATACTGTTGATGTCAAGCAAGGCGATCCAGTCCAGAAGAATGTCAGTGAAGAAACGACTTCTTCAATAAATTTGTCCAGCGATGGAGGCGAACGGGGGTTGGTTCTCAGGGTGCACCGAGACTTTTTGGAAAGAAAAGTCTCCTTCGATTCTGTCGTTCCGATCACAGATCCGAGTGTAGCGGCAAAAATCCACTAAAACTACAGAGTCGCTTACCTCAGAGACGCAATTCTCTCTCGGACATTTGACGAGGAAACGAGCGAATACTGCAGCGCATTTTCCGAGGCCGAGAAGGTTCTGGAGGTACTGACTCGTGCACACGAGGAGGAAATGAAGATTGAGAAGGACAACGGAAGGCCAACGAAAGATGAGGAAAAAAGGAAGGGCAGCGCGCGTAGTTTGGGTGGGAACGTGAAGCATGAAGATAGTTTGGATGTGGTGATGAGAGATGTGCAGAAATCAAGAGACTAGGAGTGACGGAAGGGGGAGAAAACGAGGATGCGAAAAAAGAAGACGAGGGGTCATGGAAAAGTGGGAGTGTGATTGAGGTGGGTGTTGGGGAAGATGCAGATGATTCAGAGGAGGGCAGTGTGAAGAATGTGGAAAGAAAAAAAGAGAACAAAGAGGGAAAGCGAGGATCGGGGAAAAAAGCAAATGTGCGGGGTTTCTCTTGTGGGGTATTCTGCAGATGGAAACGAAGACAGCGAATCAGATAGAAGTGAGGAGGAAGCAGTGAGCGAGGGTAGCGAGAGGTCGGGGGGCATGCGATTTTCTCTCTGTCGAAGCAAGGTGCGGAGCGGAGGGGTAGGTATGAGAAAGAGGGATGATAGTGAAGTAGAAAGGATTTCGGAACGTCTGCTCAGAGCGGTGAAGAAGCGAAAGTTCGGAGAGCAGGCAGAGGGCGGAGGCGGATGGCAAGAGAGGGAATTGAGACATGCACTCAAGCGGTGATAGAACAACAGGACGGGAGTGACTTGGTGGATGGGGCGGGCAACGAAAACGGGAGTCCTAAACAGCAGAGAATATCGCAAGGGGAGGGGGAAAAGGCAAGGCGTTAAGGGGCGAAGGAGGAATTAGAGAATCTCCCCCTGATTTGTCCCCACTCCCCACCGCTTGTTGTTGCGGTTGTGCAGGTTTTTTGTGGTCGTTTTGAATGTGTGAGTGTTACTCTTGTTGATGTGGTGGTGTGCTGGAGAATATTTTGTTTACATATGTGTGTGCCGCCGTAGGACAGGCAGAGTCCGGTAGTGGCGCGGGGGCGGAGAGATGGGGAAGTAGAAGGATGGCACGAATGCCTATTCGCCTAAATATTTTCATTAGGAGGTGCAACGCGGCATGCGACTGTCTCTCCATGCGATTCCTCTTCTGATCACTTCACAAGCCCGTCCTCTATTCTCCCCATTACTTTCAGCATCGTCGAAGCACACAGGGCTTCTACCATCGGCGAGAACCGGCGTCAGCTTCCACGTTCCACAAAGGAGCTACCGTCTCCTTGGGGGTCGTATGAGACCAAGTCGACGTAACATATCTGCAACTTTGTCCCTCTCTTCTGTATTTTCCCTTACGCGAACCCGCCCTCTTTGCATTGTTTGCTCCATGTGCAAATTATTTTGTGTATGCACGAAAGGCGTTCCTCGTACATCGTTCTCCTGTGCTGTATCCAGAGTCTCGAAATAGTTTTGACCATCGCTTTCAAGTAAATAGTTATGAATTTTGCAGCAAACAACAACAATGAGACTGCTGCAAGACACCGAGAAACGAAGGGGTGACCAAAAAACGCCGAAGCGAGAAATCACCATTCCAAAGGCTTGCTCAAAAGTGATGCGACAAGACGACAAATAAAAGTTAAACGGGTCCTGTCTCTGGGACAGGCCCAATCCATTGCATGGTGTCAACACATGCTGACTATTAGCATAGGAGTCATCGACCGCAATGCGTGACCATGAAGGCAGACCCACTTGTTTCATTACCGAATACAATAGCGTGGCTTGAAATGCCGTCGAATCATGAGTGCTACCCGCATAGCGGGCAGAAACAAACAAAAATCTGTAGTCCGCCGCAACAGCGGCTTGCACACATAAAGCGTAGAACCCTTTTCGGTTGAAGTACTTGCGTGGATCTGGAGTGTCGTGCAACGTAGGTTGACGTACTTTTATAGCAATGCCATCAATTGCTGCGATGATACCTTCTAGGGGCGAATTGCGCAAACTTTGGAATTGCTGCGCTGCTGCTTGGCAACTTAGGATAGAGGTCGAAAATTGTATGGGTGCAAGCACTTTGTTGAGGGCTTGCAATGTTTCATGAAAGAATGCGTATGTGGTAGACGTTGCCACACCGTAAGACCAACCAGTATCTAAGTAGCTAGCCCCTGCTAAAATCCGCATTGTGATGCAAAGCATAGTTTCAACGCTTTTCGTTGCGTTTGTGCAATTTTGTCGAATTTGGGACCTCTCTAGCACCGGCCGCAACTTTTTGCAAAGGTCTTGAAATTGTGCCGGAAAGAGGCGATATAGTTTTGTAAATAGGTCTTCACCAAGCAACGCCAGATGTTTTTCGAGACAGAAACTTTCTCTAATCACTGTGATCGTCCGTCGAGGAGGAACACGGCAACTAATTGACGCCTGTAAGATTGTTGAGAAAACTATTTGCAACGTCTCTCCGATTTTTCTTTTTTTCTCGATCCGCAATACTCTGCGGCACGGGAGACGCCGCCTAGTCACGTAGAGGAAACGAGCAGCCATCTTTCTCTTAAATTGCATGTGGCAGAGGGAATAATTTCACGATGGAAACGAGCAGGCATCGGTATCTGCAATAGCGGTCGCAGAGGGAACGATCGAGTATGAGCACTTCTAGGGTGACACCCAGTACTCGAGTGCGATATTATTGGTTGTCTGTGAAAAGTTTCTAAATGTTATAGACCGAACGGCGAGACGGAAATTGGAAATCGGTGCATTGCTGTCATATTTCTGATTTCCGAATTCCAGCTTCGAAAAACTCATAGAATGACCCTGAGTACCCTTGGGTACCGTTGCACGGCACGAAGCAATAGCCTTTACAAAAAGGAAGTCATTTGCCTACCGTTTCACTCGCGCCAGTTGTGGGGAAAATACAGCTGCGACCGAGGGACCTGCATAGCAGAAGTCAAAATGGTGCGCCGTTGGTAGTAGGAATTCGGGCTCTCATTCTTGTGCTCCAGACAAGGAGATGGCCATGGCGGCAGTGGGAGCACGTAGATACAGGCTGATGGAACAAATCGGGATGCGGCAGCAGCGGCAAGAGCGCGCTCGACGCAATGGGGAACAATGTACGACAAAACAGAACAAAGCGTAGATAATGAGATGCGGGGATGCCCAAAACCCGTGGAAGTCGAGACGCCCTGTAAGACACAAAAACAGGACAACAGGAAGTGATGACAAAAAGCACCGCCCGTCATTGATCACTCTCAACTTTCATACTCTGGCTCCAGTAGACGTAATCCCTCCAACTCTCATGGAGGTACCGCGGTGGGAAGAGCCGCGCTCTGGCCTGTAGCTGCCCATTCGTGGGTTCATGCGGCATTCTGAGAAGCTTCATGTGCTTGAGCTCATGCAGCAGGTAGCGACCCTTACTGTGGTTGCAGCCAATGCATGCCGTGACGACATTCTGCCAGTTGGTCTTTCCGCCGGCACATCTAGGGATGACGTGATCAAAAGTGAGTTCTTGGGTCGGAAAGCGCCGGCCGCAATACTGGCAGGAAAAGGCGTCCCGCATAAAGACGTTAAACCTGGAGAAAGCGGGGCGTTTTCTAGCCCTTGGCTGGTACTGCTTGAGCGAGATGACACTCGGCAGCGGGAATATCATGCCTGGGGAACGGACACCGATATCGTACGTGGCGACGACGGTGACGCGGTCAAGAAAGACGGCCTTGATGGCGTCCTGCCACGGCCAGAGGGAGAGCGGCATGTACGAGAGTGGGGAGAAGTCGGCATTGAGCACGAGGGCCGGGCACGACTCCGGGCGCAAGTCAGAGGGATGGGAGACCTCGTTTCGGAGGGAGGGGTCCACGCGAGACCATTTGTTCGCGGCGATGCTAGCCGCGGTGCGGGATGTGTGGACCGACTTGCGCGCACGTTTCGACGGGCGCGGGACCCTTCGCTTGGACGGCTGGTGGGGGCGCGCCGCGGGCGAGGACGGGCGCGACGTACGCGAGGGCCGGCGCGAGGTGGAGGCCAGGGGGGCGATGATGAACGCTGTGGGGCGCGGCGCGAGGGGGTGGAAGGGACTCATGGGACGAGGGTGGAGGCGAGCCAGTGCCCCAAACAGGGGCCCCGAGAAGCGGCTTGCGGCGACTGGGGGTCCAAG